TCAAACGTATAAAAGAAGTGTGCCAACTTGATCACATCGTAATTCCATCTGTAAAAAGCACTGTTTAATTAAATATACGGACTTGGAACACTGATTCTGTCTTTCATAAATGTGCAAATACTGAAGCAATGCTAAAAGAGTTTGGAAAAAATCTATTAATATTTAAAAATTTTTTTAGAAAGTGCAGAATTTCGTATTTGTCTAAGAAAGGGTAAAAATATCACAAGGAAAGCTAAATTTCTTCAGGTATGAAGACATATTTCATTGTCGGACGTATACAAGACGTTGATAATAGCACCACGAATAAAACAGTCTCATATTCTGATTCAATGCGTGATGCAATTTCATCAGAAACACAGATGAATCGGTCACAAATAAGCTTCAGAAAGGTCTCTCCTATAAATTTTGAGTTTGTGGAAAACAATATATTATAGTATAAATTAATATCATAAAAGTATTGTATTGTAGTATAAATTCTTGAAATTGAAAAAGAATTTCTGTCAATTTCTTAAATTATTCGTTTCGTTATGTGCAGAGAATAATGTTACTAAATTGTAAATAATTGAGGAAATATGGCTAAAAACGAACTGGAATCTGAAAAATAAAATGTCTATTATAGGAGTAATAAACATGTAAGCATATTATGATTATTAATTGAATAATAATATGCTTATTACGTCTGCAAAGCCGATTTTTAAAGAGCATAAAAAATCTGGATGAATATTTGGAAAATTTCGTTGCAGTCTGAATTCGAAAACCGGTATTAATGAAAATTTTTAGAAGTTAAGTAATAAACTTAAAATGATACCTATCGAACGGCATAGTGGAAGTTTAAAGATGGAAATGTTAAAAAGAAAAGGCGAAAGTAATTCGGTACAGATTCTCCATCACAGCGAATGCTTAGATAAGGTTTCTGCTTTTAAAACTCGCGTTTCATTTGAAAAATGTAAACATGTTAATCAAATAAGTTACTTAACATCAAAAATTCAACAGTAAGAGTTATCAATTTTTATCATTGCCACTCCACTCTTTTAATTTATGAAGACTTGAGGCTCTGCTATTAAAACTGTATCATGTCAAGCATTTGTGAAAAGGCTTCATTATTTCTTTACTGTTTAAAGAATGGTAACAACAAATCATCACCAACAGTTGATGGAAGGCGTAAATCTGCTTCATTGCAAGCTTTACCATTTGATGATATTAAGCCACTAAATATGCATGAAAGAATCATCACTGAAGCATCACGTGAATACATGAGTGGAAGCAGTATACGTGGATCAAAAAGTTCAGGATTACAGGTATTCTTTGCGTGTAACCTGCTTAAGAATTTTTCCTTTTCGGCAGAAAATTTGTATAGCTTTCTGTACATAATTAAAAAATTTTTCTTGAAATTAAAAAAAATTTTTTTTGCTAATCCAGATTTTAAAATTTTATTTTGATATTATTTTCCCTACTGCGTGATGCTATCAAGATTTTTTCGTTTCTCTTTAGGATTCAACTTCGGATACATTTTCATGTGCAATTGATACTACTATATTGCATCATCGAAATGCTCCATCACTAACGCGCTTTGAAACAGAAGATCGTGATTTTGATGAACGTCTTGCTACAGTAATACAAGTAAGAGATAGTTGATTTTTTTATCGAATTGTTTTTATCTGCTATATGCCTGATTTGCTTCTCTTAATTTTTTTTATGCCTTCAAACTGCTTTCAAATTTTTAATTTGACAAGCTGAAAGTATTTCTTTATAGAATGCTGATATCAACGTTAGTCGTGGTTTCTGGATGCATGATGACTCTTTGAATAAATGGACTTTACGATTTAAAGAATTTGAAATTGAACAGCGCTATCGAGCACATTTTGCTGAATCATTTGACTGCCAGTGGTCTGGTCATGATGTAGAACGGCGTAAAAACGTTCGTTTTCCTTTACTTATTGATTACATGAATAATCTTACATTAGATTACATTAGATAAAGTAATTACTGAAGGTCAGTACAGGTTAAAAGTTTATAAATGATTTACTTTCAGTTTGATTTTGTGGACTTTAATGTTAATAGTAAATGCTCAACTGAATTAGTCAATACATTCAGTTTTTTTTTTATTTTGTTCTAATATAAAAAGTCAGAAGTTGTTAAATAAAATAAATATAATATACTTGTACGTAATAAAACGTAATAAAACTTGCACGAAGTCTTTTTATTTGTATTCAAACTTATTATTTGTACTTTTGTTATATCTTAAAAAATTGATGAATTTTTTAGTAAAACTATTGTATAAATAGTGATAAGATGATGCCATAATCTGCAGGTAACCCTAAACGAAAATCTTGAAAGCACATCTCAGTACCGTTATTCGGGTGTCACCGTGGATATATTAGTTTCTGGTATTTTACTTCTTGTTTCTTCTGCAGTAATTTTTATCTCCGGCACGTTCAGTACTATTTTTATTATTTACTTCGTGATTGCATTTATCGCTACTGTATTCGTTATTGTTATAATTGGCATACCGTTAGTTAGAAGTCGTACAGTTTTCCCGTTTCTTATTCGTTGGACATCATGTCACGTAATTGGTCAGTTACTTATTTACCTAAGCTGCAAAACCATTCCAGTTCCTTCATTTAATATGAACTAAAAATGGCAACGAGAAAAAGCATATTTTACTCTAAAACAGTGATAATGTTTAACTTGGCAGAAATCAGTCACGCAACAACTTGAATTTCGTTGCTATTAATATAATATATTTTTCCTTATTACAGCAGTAATCTTGAATTGTTCGTTATTATGGTCTTAATACAATATGTTCTCACAAATTAGTCTGGAATTCATTCATCAGGAGGAAAATTCCTGTTTATTTTCTACCTTATCTTATCTGTCAAAACATAAATTGGCATTACAGGATTGATACTCATTCTGTTGCCGGCGGGTGTTGCATTGACCATAGTACCTATATGTAATAATTTAGCTTCCCAGGAACATACATGTGTTTCACCAAATTTGCTTACTCAGCGGATTTTGTTTTGTACGTGTTTCACCTAAAACTTCCATCGCCTAAAATTCATTTTAAATTCAAATCTTTTTTTTCCAAAAAATTTTAGTTTTATTCACAGTAAAATAAGTCAGAGAGCCGTTAAAAGTTTGCTAAGAATTAATTAAAATGTAATGAAAACGAAAGTTCTATCAGAGATATTTATAAGATATTGTGCATTTATGAAAGTAAGTTAGTTTTTATTATTTGACAAAAAAGTGTTAAATGTTTTGATAAAAAAATTTGCATAAATAGAACTGTTATGAATTATTTTAGCTTACATATTTCTTGTTGCATTGTTTGCGCATTGCAATTTTTCACAACTTTCTACTTGGCCAAAAACAGCTCAAGCACTGTTAATTGGGATTATATTTCTACTCCTTACATACCTTTGTCAGTCTCATATCGGTATGCTAATCGAACGGTGTAAGTTCTTTATTGTTTGGTCGTATCTTAATTAAATATTATGCTAAAATATTTTTTGAGTAATAAGAACTAAATTTTATACTTACTTCCAAAGAATGAAGTAATTGAAATGAAAGAAATCTTTTTAGCATCGAATAACTCAAGCAATGAACCACGTTTCTGCAATGGTAGTGTACCATTGTGGGCATTGGGACGACTTGGCTCTCCCATTAATGTGCCAGAAATTTTAGTTGATATATTTTTAGTCGTTGTGCTGGTTGCTTTTCTTAATTATCAGGTATAAAGTTATTTTTTATAATGTTACTTACATTTTGATAATAGAAAAATCATAAACGGACTCAATCTGTACCAAAATAATATATCAAAAAAAGTATGCAAAAAAATATATATATAATATGCATCACTTTTTTTCTCATTTATCTGAACAGCTCTGAATTTATTTTTACATATAGGCAGAAAATTCAGCTGGGAAATACTATTTTAAAGGTGATAAATTTTGAAAGAAAATTAAATATTAGAATTATTGCATAAAATATGAATTATTGATTAATTCTGAGAGCTAAAAAAATCATAAAATAACATTTTATTTATTCATAAAAATTATTCTCATTTGCAGCTTGAATGAAAAATTTTAGAATGAAAATTCTGTAAGTAATATTCGAAAACTTTTTCACAAGTATGAAGTTGTGATTTTCTGTATGATTTAGTTCGAAGCAGCATTTCGGATGTCCTTCTACGGTGATGAACAAGCTCGACGTGATACACAACAGATGCAAGCCGTACGAGATCAGGCTGACTGGTTGTTAACAAATATAATCCCACAACATGCTATTGATTCTCTCAAATCAAGTACCAAATATTCAGAAAATCACGCGTTAACAGCAGTACTTTTCGCCACCATCACCAATTGGAATGAAATGTACGAAGAAACTTTCGAAGGTTTGCTCATTTTTCACATCTGAATGTTTTGTTTTCAAATTTCAGAAAATTTGCTTTAACATAAATAGCTTAATTTTTTGATTAGAAGTAAAGGAATTTTTATTTTAAAGATTTAGCACAAAGAAAAGTTAATGGTTTAGTTTGTTAGATTAATTGTAAGGTATCGTTAAAAATTATAGGCGGTAGAGAATTTTTACGAGTATTGAACGAAATTATTGGTGATTTTGATGAACTGCTGGATAGGGCAGACTTTTCACAAGTGGAAAAAATTAAAACTATTGGGCCAACATACATGGCAGCAGCAGGATTAAATCCTGATCGAAGGCGATTAGCACTGCATCCTTATGAACATCTCTATCAAGTAATTTTTGAATCTCAAACATGTTAAATGAAATGAAATAATCTTCAGGTCTTTATCAAGTGAAAATATGTAAATAGAATTTTACAATTTAAAAATCATTAAATATTACATATAAGACTCTTAAGTTATGGGTACTTGGACAACACAAAATTAATAATTTGTAAAATACGGTTGCTTGAATAAAAGGAACAAATTTTGTTCAAATCATGGACACTTTCTCTACAAGTTTTTTTTACTTGGTATTATTTCCATACTAAGTATAACTGATTTTTATAAAAGCGAGTGAATGAATTAATTTTTTGAATAAAT